TGAATTCTCTTTTCCAGTTTCAAAAAATGTTAATATCAACATACTAGCTTGAATGTCCTCTCAGATGCTCATCTCTTGTTTTTATACTCATGTAAAGCAGTGAAGTCTCTCCAAATGTACACAATTTAAATGACGGTAGGATTGGGCCCAGATTGTTCAGTACTGTTGGGATATAAAGTATGTATTCAGCCTAACCTCACTTGCTTTACTTAGGTAAAAAGTCACACTGAAGTTAGCAGATATTCACAAAAGTGAGACAAGCTGGATTTGGTAACAGGATACTGAACAGAAGATTTGAGAAAGTCCTTACTAAATCTACAATGAGAGCAGTTTGGGTAGGGACTTCAGCCCAGACCAGTTATGCACAGAGATTGACCAATTAGAAAAACTTAGTCCAAACTCTTCTCACTTCCTTCCAAAGTATTTGGATGCAAACTGCATTGCTCAGGCCCACATACTTACAGACCAAAACAATGGACTGAAGAGATACAAGACTTGGAGCAGTCTACATTCCTTGATCAGACAGCATCAGTAATGACCCCTATTTATCTAACTATTTCCTTATCAGACTTCTAAGCTTAGGAGAACTATTCCTAAATATAGGGAGCGTCTACAAATTGCTGTACGACAATGTTGCTGCGGCACTGTGCTTTAGTACTTCCTTTTGGTATTGTACTTCCCTTTGGAAGTTGTGACCGTTGGGCTTCGAGTACTCGCTCTCGAGCAGCCTTCGCCCAGGTGGTGGGCGTTGGGCATTCTCCGGGCTTGTGTCTTTGGCCAAGCAGGTGTCTCCTCTATGACTCACCTTCCCCTCTCTCTCCTGCCACGACTTGTTGGTTCCTCAGTGGACGGGGTCGGTCATCTGGTTTGCTCGGTGGCTCATGGTTCTCCTGGCAGTCATTCACGGGGCTCTGCCACCCCTACACCCTGGCCTCACTCCACCTCGTGTGTGTTGTTCCCCGTTGGCCTCGGCCTCTTCTGTGGAGTCGTGCCCTTCTGCCGGCCGCCTGATACAACTGTTCGCCAATGCGGGACCTGTTCTCTCAGCTCTGTCCCTACCCCACCTTCCGCCTTCCCTCCAGCCCCTTCTCTCGGGGAAAGATAAAGAAAATCTCCGAGGCTCTTCCCTCGGCCCTGACACTCAGGGAAACTCAAAAGACCATCCTCTCCTTAACTCCTTCACCCGGGGAAACAGAAAAACAAATCACCTAAGGAACCTTAAAATAGGGCTGCCCCTTGGCACGACTACACCCTGCTTCTTCACTACTCTCCCTCTGTTCTAACTCGGGGATGCTCTTCCTGTCACCAGTCGTCCCTGGGTTCTCTTTCCACTCTGCCGCTGACCCGAACGAAGATGGCGGCGATACCCACCCCGATTATAACCACCCTGGTGCTCCTCTCAGGGTCCTTCCCTCCGGCGTGGCTCCCCGCTCGCCCCGGCCACTCCAACACTCCCACCTGGGGTCCCGCTGAGTCTCTGGTTCGTCCCAGGGTCCGTGTTCGGGTCCGAGGTCCCTGCCGCCTGATGGCCTCCTGTCTCTGGGTCTCAGTGGGTCACCCTGCTCCATGCTGCTCCCGTCCACTTCTGGTTCGCTGGGTTCTGTAAGACCCAGGGTAGAGGTCTCTTCCCTTCCCCGGGCCGGCTGCGGTCCTTTTTTCTCGCCTCTCTCTCTCCTGGGCCAGCCATTTTTATTTTTGCCGTCAAGTGCTCATGGCTGATGTCACCAGCCAGCCTTAATTGAATAAACAAGCGGCTGATGAGCCGCATGGGCTCTTCCTTCCGCCCCTTCTGCGCTGTGCCTCCTGCTGTGGGTAAGTGCTTGTTGTTATCTTTTGCACGTCCCTTCCTGGGACAGAAGTACTAATGCACAGCGCAGTATGGGCAGTTACTGCACCATGTGCGTGGTAAACAGTTAAATTTCGCCACAGCGCACCATATGGCAATGTAGCATGTTGCTATAGGGCTATGTGTAGATGCACCCATAAATGAATAACTTTTGGAAGAAGGGTATCTTTGTCTTATAAAGGACCTTATGGAGCCTGATGCATTTCATCTATTATTTTTATCCTCAATGTTCTTCACATATAAGAGGAGGACTAGGAAGATGTAGTTCTTATTCAGTTTTCCCAGAAATAAAAAAAAGAGTGGCTAACTTTTTTGCTGGATACAACCACCTAAATATTCACAGCTTCTAACCTTCTTAGCCTGTTAGACAAGAGAAATCAACTCTTAAGTATATCCCTGAGCCATCTGTGAAGTTAAGCTAGAAATGTAGCTAAACTAGACATTTTGGCTATGAACTTTAAGAATGTATTCCAAAAATCAAAGTTTGACATCACAAAATTATCTTATTGTGATAGCAGAAGCTCATTAAGCTGGATTTAACCTAGCTTCAGTTTTATCATTATTATGAAGTATAACTATGCTAAAGGGTAAGACTGCACACAATATTTGTATTCATGTTTTGATTTGCCTAACTTGTTTCAGTATTAGCAGAATATGGGCTGCCTCCTTAATATCTTAGTTCCTCCTTTTGTTTAAGTTTCACTCCCTACTTTTGATAATCCATTTCTTATCTTAATAAAACATGCTCTCCCTCTGCTTTTTTGGCCATTCAGGCCAATAATACAGACTTAGGAAAAAACAGAGGCCCTCAGTTCAAGACAGTCCTGTAGCCTTTTCTAAAAGTATAGGAGTACAACATAATTCCAGATGGGTCCTGCATCACTTACCTGAACCATAGGGCCAGAAGTTTGAGCAGCACTAATCTAGGACCTCAGAATAGACAAAGCTGAACATGAGCATGAGGGTAGCCAAAATTTGGAATGGGCCTCCAAGGGCGGTGGTGGTCTCCCCTACCTTGGAGATCTTTAAGAGGAGGCTGGATAGGCATCTGGCTGGGGTCACCTGATCCCAGCACTCTTTTCTGCCTAGGCATGGGGTCCAATTCGATGATCCATTGAGGTCCCTTCCACCCCTAACATCTATAAATCTATATAATTGCTGAGGTACATAACAGAATGGAAGCAGAAGAGAAAGGGAGTCTGTTGGCATTCTTGCTTTGTGCATTTAATTTTCAATTAGTTACCCCTCCAGGCAATCTGCCAAACCCCTCACCTGTAAAGCAAAGCCTTCATCCCATTAAAGCAACAGACATTTTCCCATAGGTTTAAATGGGACTGGGATTTTTTCTTGGACCTTGATTTTTCAGCTTGATCCAGATACTGATCTTAGCCACAACGTAAATTTGGAGTGCATCTACTGCACCCAATAGATTGACTCCAGATTTACACATGCAAGTGAATGGGTTTGTTTGGTTTTTTTTTTATGTCACTGGTTGTGACGAGATACTGGCACACAAGGCATTAACTGTAGACAGAAGACTGGTCACACACCACCTTTTTCAGAAAGAAACCCTGCTAACAACATGGAGCTATGGCACACAAAGCTGTGGCTGGGATGATTTAGTTGAGTCCTTTCCAACCCTAATTTTCTATGATTCTATGCAATATTTGGAGCACGGACGCTGTGACAGACACCGTCTTCAGCTCCCCGTGAGCACTGTTACCCCAGCAGGCAATAACACTATCCCTAGGGGAGCTGCCTCTTGTTTTTCAGACTACTGAGAAACACCTATGAAAGCTTCTTTCCTTTGGTAGGGTAAGAGTGACATGGTAGCTGTGATGATCCATAATTCTGTGAGAAGCTAGGATTTCTTAGGGCAGTCTTTTATGGGCTCGTCTGTAGTTGGGGTACAGTCAGACAAGCTTTCCAAGGTTAGGATGTCTTGCATGGGAAAGCCTGCCTGACTTTCTCACCACTACACAGTTGGTCGAGTAAAAGAGATGGCTTTATACACACACACACACACACACACACACACACACACACACACACACACGTATATACACATACACCTGTCTGTATACACATTTGTGTATATACACACGTACACGTACGTGTACATGTACGCACATAAGTATATGTGTACATGCATAGACACATATATATATACACATACGTATGTATGTACGTATGTATGTAAATAAATAGATAAATCAATAAATAAATACAAGAAAGGGTGAAGTTTTTCACACTCCTGAAGCATAGACTGAAAGAACAATGCCAAAAATCATGAGAGTTGGCAACGTGACTGAGTCTCCCACCTTGGCTTTGGGCAACTGCTCCGACAGGGTCTTCCAGGGTCCCTGGTGAGCACATATTATGGCATCAGCTCACAGGAGCAGGATGCTGGCTGCCCTGCTTCCCCTGGGGCAGGCAGGGTGCTAGGTCTGTGCTGCGTGAGGGCTGCAGGACAGACGTGCAGCGGTCAGACTTGGGCTTGCAGGGGGCGGTGGGGATAGGGCTGGTCCCGCTCAGGCAGGCTGGAGGCCCCTTCCAGCCCGCCTGCTCTGAGACACGACACAGGTGCCCTCTCCCTCCGCAAGTGAAGACAAAAGGCACCCAGGACACAAACCCCGAGGGCTGAGCCCAGCACGGCAAGCAGGGGTTGTTACTCTCATGGCACCGTCCACACAGCACAAAACCCCCAGAGGGCG